GATCTGTGTCTGCACTCTGACCTCTCTCTGAACTCCCACCGTGTACATCCAGTCACCGCCCGGCACTGTCCCTTTGGATGTCCTGCGCTTAACACATCCTCGATGGAATGCTCCATTTCCCGTCCCCCCCCCAATGTGTTCTGCCCTCCGTCTTCCCCTCTCGCATAATGGGGCCACCTTCTGTCCACTGCTCAAGGCCAGTCACGAGGAGATCCTGGATCTGCCCTCTGCCAGGCACTCCATGACCCCACCCTGGTCCTGTCCACCCTCCTCTCCCTCCTCGCTGTTCCCCGGACCCCTCTCAGCCAGAGATCAGTTATGTTTCCTCCTTTCCCACCTTCCCTGAGATATCACTTAGAATGCATTATACCTACCTACCTACAAGATAAACCTATGCACTGCCCCATTGTCTTACTGATCGCATCTCCCCTACATTCCCTCTGCTCCGGCCTCCCTGCTGTTCCCCAAACACACTAAGCTTGGTCCCACCCCAGGGCCTTTGCACTTGCTGTTCCTGCTGCCTGGACGCTCAACCCTTTCCCTTTCTTCAGGTCGCCACTCAAACGTCACCTCCTCCGAGAAGCCCTCCCTAACTACCTTAGTTAAAACAGGCTTCCAGCTCCTTTTCTCTGTCCCCACAGCCTGTTCTTCGCCTCCAAAGCAGTTGATACTGTTTGTCAATTAACCAGCTACCCCTTGACTTGTTGAAGTTGTCAATTAACCACTCCCTTCCTGCACAAGGCCAGAAGCCCCGTGGGGACAGGAAGCTGTCTGTTCTTTCACCATCATATCCCCGATGCACAGGGCTTGGTGATGTAAGTAATAGTATTACTTAATAAGTATTATTACTTATTATTCCTTAGTACTTAAGTATTTGTTTAAAGAATAAGAGGTAGAAAGACAATGGAAAACTAGGAATCCTTGTTTCCTGTCTCTATTTTTTCTTCACATGAATAGCAGCATATGAGGCCCACTGTTGGACATCTTGCTCTTTTCACTTAACAGGCTTGTATATATTTTCTTATTAGTATGGAGACAGAGTTGCTGTATTCTTTTTGTTTTGTTCCTTATTGAGGTATAACTTACATACAATAAAACACACCCATTTCAAATGGATAGCTTGGTGAGTTTTGACAAACGTATTATCCCATATAACCACCACCACCATGAACACAGAACTTCTGGGGCGCCTGGGTGGCTCAGTCGGTTAAGCATCTGACTTTGGCTCAGGTCATGGTCTTAGGGTCCTGGGATCGAGTCCCGTGTCTGTGCCCCATGTCTGCGCTCAGCACGGAGCGGAGTCCGCTTGTCCCACTGCAGCTCCCTCTACCCCTCCCCCTGTGCTCCTGCTGTCTCTCTCTCTCTCTCTGCGCATGGGAGAGAGACAGAGAGAGAGAGAGCACAAGCCAGGGGGAGGAGCAGAAGGAGAGGAAGAAGCAGACTCCCCATCGAGCAGGGAGCCCGATGTGGGGCTCGATCCCAGGACCCTAAGATTATGACCTGAGCGGAAGGCAGATGCTTAACCGACTGAGCCACCCAGATGCCCCCTTAATAAATAAAATCTTAAAAAAAAAAAGAATGAATGAACTTCCTCATCTCCCCAGAAAGCCCACCTCCCACCCCCGTGCCTCTTTGCAGTTGACACCTTCCCCCGGCCTGCACCTCCCCGAGTCCAGGGAACCACCGACCTCCTTTCTTGGATTCTAGATGTCCGCTGCCTTTTCCAGCATTCTCCCTGAATGGAAGCACAGAGCCCATGCACTTTTTGGCTTGGCTTTTGTCACTGCACAACGGTGTTTGGTTTCAGGCAAGGGCTTGTATGTTTGAATACCTGGTTCCTTTGTCTTACTGAAAGATAGTGTGGACGCGGCACGACTTCATCATCCTGTTGATGGACCCTCGTGTTGGTTCTTGGTTTGGCACCGGTAGGAAAAAGTGTTGCGTGCGCGCCTTTGTGTGGACATGTGCTTCCATTTCTCGCTAAATCCTGGGAGCGGTGGAACGGCCGCCGTGCAAGATGGGAGGGCATCTGGTTTTTTGTTTTTGTCTGTTTTTTTAACTACTCTCTACACCCAGCACTGAGCTTGATCTCACCACCCCAGAGATCAAGAGTCACCCCGCTCCCCGGACTGAACCAGCCAGGTGCCCCGGATATCTGGTTTTGTAAGAAATTGTCAAATTGTTTTCCAAACTGGTCCCACGATTGCTCATGCTCTGAATGCTTCGTGACCCAGGAGAGGTGGCTTTGGGGAGTGGTGCTACGTCAGTCACCCAGGCCTCAGCCTGTTCAGAAAACAGGTCCCCACACCAGGACCTTCACCACTTGAAGGTGAAAGGAGGGGATGTTTGAGATCCACTTGGCTTTGTGCCCCCAATTCCTCAGATTTAAGTAACAATGTTTCCCATAGTATGGCAGGCGCAGGAGAGATGCTTCTGAAATTTTCCATTCTGGGGCCCATAGGGACCGAGGCTGACTCCTGGCAGTGGGACCGGGGAAGACACATTTTGAGTGAGCATCCTGGGTGAGTCTGACATGCTGTAAAGCTTGGGACCACTGAGTCTGGGTTGGGGGTGGCAGGGGGTAGGTGAGAGGAAAAGTCATTCCAGGTAGAAAGAACTTTGGGTGCAAAATGCCTGAGATGGGAGAGAACAGGTCAGGGAAGCAGGGACCAGAAATCCAGGCCTCGAATGGCAGCCAAAGAGAAGGGATTAGTCTCCTGAGGGTACTGGGGAGCCATGGTGGGTTTAAGTGGGGGAGTGACTGCTTGGGTTTGGGCTCTTGTAAGGCCCCTGTGACTGCCATCTGTGCGTGTGTGTGTGTGTGTGTGTGTGTGATATAGAAGGGGGTGAGGACCCCAGGAAGATGATGGGAAATGTGGTGTGGAAACCGTGGCAAGCCGGGGGGAGGGGGGACAGGCAGAGGAGGGGTGTGGACCCCATTCTGCACACTCCTTGCTCCAGGCCACTCCCTGCCTTGGATTCTGACCTGGGGACAACCAACTCCCCTCAGCAGACACCCCTGCTCTGGCTCTGCCCCCTTCTTCCTCCTCCTCCCTCGCCCCTCTTCCTGCTGCTCAGGCTCCTGCGAGGACAGGTGGGCTGGCGGCCCCATATGGGTGTGTGCTTGTGTGCTTGCGGCAGCCAGGGGAGTGTCTCCAGCTCTACGTGTGCTCTGAGCTCGCTGAGTGTTTGTCTGAGAGTCTCCTGGGACTTCCTGGTGCATCTGGGCTGCACTGGGTGAGTTACTAAACCTCTCTGTGCCAGTTTCCTCATAGGCAAAATGGGTATAGCAATAGTATCTATTTCCTTTTTTTTTTTTTTTAAAGATTTTATTTATTTATTTGAGAGAGAGAATGAGAGACAGAGAGCACGAGAGGGAAGAGGGTCAGAGGGAGAAACAGACCCCCTCGCTGAGCAGGGAGCCTGATGCGGGACTCGATCCCGGGACTCCAGGATCATGACCTGAGCCGAAGGCAGTCGCTTAACCAACTGAGCCACCCAGGCACCCAATAGTATCTATTTCCTAGGGAGGATGTGGAGATGGAGTTAATTACTCAGAGCCATGCCTGCACACAAGCAGCCCTCAATTATATGAGCAGCATCATTCGGCTGTGAGCTCAACTCAGTGTCCCGGGCATGTGTCTGTCGTTGGCATCTTGCAGGAATCTGGGGCAGGAAGTGCCCCTGGAAGCATCGACGGTTATCTGGGGCAGCATGGGAGCAAGCCTGCGAGGGCGGCCTCTCTTTCCTTCTCTGTGCAATGGGAATAACTACAGCACCCCACACACGGGCGGCTGGTCCGCGGGCGAGCCGGGCGCTGGAGGGCGTGTTTGCATGCGCGGCTGCTATTACCTTTCCTTTGTCGATGAAGTGCAGCAGATAGTGGGGCCCACCCCCGTCTCTGTTGCTGGAGGATGACACCAGCTGGTAAGCACCTAGAACAGCACCCAGTACCCAGAAAGCACTCCCTGTGGAGGCTGCCATTGGAACTCGGCGCCTGCGCTTGCCTGGGCCGGGTGTGGGGTGTGGGATGTGGGGTGTGGGATGTGGCCCGGTTAGGAGGCGGCCGTGGGCATCTGGCCCTACAGGTTCCTCGTCACCCCACTTCCTCCACACCCCAACGTCTTGCCCCACCATTGCCCCATCCCTCACCCCCAAATCCCCAGGACCTCTGAGGGCAGAGGCTTTGGCAGCCGTGCCCTCTGCCCCAGCCCCGGGAAGGGGTACAGACACCCCCCAAAACCCAGGTGGGGTTACTGTTCCCCTCTCTGCTGCTATCTCAGTGCCTCCCTGGGGTCCCCCATCTCTGTGCCTCTGAGTGTCTCTCTGCCCTCCACTTTGGTTTCCAGAACAGGAAATGTCAGGGTCCCAAGGGGGTGTCCCACGTGAGGAAGCAGGAGGCAGGACCTCCCCCCTCCTCCTAGATGAGAGTGGGGGTGGGGGAAAAAGGGGGTCTTCCTTAATGAACCTCTTAATCCTGCCATGCCGGATCTTAATGAGGGGGAGGGACCTCATTAGAGGGCAGGGAGCCCTGACATTAGCTCCTCGTCATAGACCCCTCTCCCAGGGCCAATGCCTGGGCCCTCAGCTGGCCCTGGGGAAAATGGGGCAGGAGGCTTGGGAAACCGAAGGGGGGCTGGGGGCCCGGACTCCTGGGTCCTGGAGGAGGGGACAACCTGCACTCCTGGGTCTGACGGAGCAGGGAGCTGGGGACCCGGACTCCTAAGTCTGAGGGTGGAGGGCCCGGGGGCCTGGAGCCTTCCCCTAACACACCTCCCTCTCCAACGCCCCGCCCCTCCCGCCTCCAGTTAACCCCAAGCCTGCAGAGGAGCCAGGGACAGTCGCCTGGAGCCCACGGATGGAGGAGGAGGGCGACCGACACGCGCTCGGCGGCGGGATG